ATTGTAAACGTAATTTAACAAAAAGCTGCAGTCAATTTCTGGATTCCCACTCCTTTTTATTACAAACAACTCTGCTTTCATCCACAGAAAATGAATTATTAACTTTTCCAACTTGAGACATTTTCATCTAGTGAGGTGTAATGTTAGGGTGCATATTTTAAATGAGCGTACTTTATTGTCTAATACAATCATTTAAATGTAATTAGCTGCTGATATTAAACCAGAAAGTCTCATTTCCGAATGATACAAAAGGATTTCCCCGAATTTCAGATTATTAAATTATGTCATTAACAGTTAAGGGGTCAGACAAGTTCAATGCCTCTTCTAACCCTGTATGTCCTGCACTCCAACAGGAATCTATGAAGATTGCTCTGCAGCACGGTGACCGTCCTCTGCAGGCTCTGTGCTTACTAAACTTTGCAGACATACACCGCTGCAGGAGTGACGGTGATGTGAGTGAAACTGTTAGCTCTCCAATACCATTTGATCTTGTTTCATGTATCTTTCAAAGAGTTTGGACTTTTCTATTTATCTTCCTTTCATTGTGTTTTGCTCTGTCTTTCATATCTTAATGGTGGTCAATTCTCTTCATCCCTTTTAGAAAGCATTCCCTCGCTACGAGTCTGCAATGGGTATCATGACTGAGATTGGAAACCGTCTGGGCCAATCACAGGTCTACCTGGGAGTTGCAAAGTGTTGGCTTCTGCAGAAAGAGTTAGACAAGGTGCCAATTACTTGATTATCTCCCTTCAAATATCACAGTCTAAGAGGCATAAGTGTTTCTCATATAAAACCTGCTTCAATGTTTTTATTTCCCAGGCTCTTGAATCTTTGCAGCGAGCCCAGGAATTAGCAGATGGGATGGGAAACAAGGTAACTGATGTTTCTATAGGACACATGTAAAGTAAAGCTCCAAATATTACTTGATAAATCGGAAAAGTTGTTCGGCAGAAATAATTGGCATTTAGTTTAATATTACGTTTTTTTACGCAAACATGGCAAACATTTACATTAAGATTTCTTGGTCATATATGATTGTAAACTGATGCTACTAACTACTGGTCGTACCAAACATGACTTTGTCAGCTTTGAGGGAAGCAATATGATATTATTTGGACAAAACGATTGCCTTTAGTAATCTTTAGTTCCAGACTAAGACACACATGTGACATTGACAGTGTTTTTCTGATTGGCCCCTGTAGCTGTGCTCGCTGAAGGTGCACAGCCTGAGTGAGGGGATCTATCGGACCCGGGGGCAGCAGGAGGAGCTCCGGGAGCAGGTGGTAAAGTTCCTGCAGTGTGTGGAGGAGCTGGAGCTCTACTGCGGCATGTGTGGAGAGTCCATCGGGGACAGGGACCAAAAACTGCAGGCATTACCCTGTTCCCACATCTTCCATCTCAAGTGGGTGCTCTTACACACGTTGTTATTTTTATACATGCATTTCTGTTAGAAAAATATCACTCGTCACCGGCTTGAGCTTCAATATCAGGATACATGTATTTATTATCCTTGCAAGAATAGAAGTAGTCATCACATACATGGGACAACTTGTTCCCAGGACAGTGTCCTTCACATGCTTATATACGAGAGGGAGTTTCACAGTCACAAGATGATGCAGGAATACCGGTTCAAAGCAGTATACAATGATTACTTCAGATTAGCTAAGACCCACGTCAGAAATGATCATGCTTGCCATATGTCCATCTCCATAGAGACTGAATCATCATGTTAATCGTTATCACATAGCTATCATAAGCCTAACACAGTCCTGACGCTCTTCTAGGTAATCATACACCCTGTTACATACACAGCTACGTAGGGCCTTTATCATCATGTGCTACTCTGATATTAGAAGAGTACATTCAGTATTTTCCTAACAATTTCAAAGACAGAGGTGGGAAGTTGTGGAATACAAATACTTTGTTACTGTACTTAAGTACATACTTTACTTCACTACTTATCTTTCTGACGACTTTTTACTTTTACATTTTACATTTTTAACACGAATACCTGTGCTTTATACTTCTTACATTTTCAAAACAGACTGGTTACTTTAGTTTTAATCTGTGTTTGGTGGCGTGATTATTATTATTCAGAGTCATTGCGTGCCTATTGATTTTAACACGATCCGTGTATCCATCATTTCCTGGTCTTCTCTAAAGAAGAGGGACCAATGAAAACTTTGTCATTTTGCTGTTGTTCAGCTTCGAAACATTCATTATATATACAATGACATTATTACAATACGGATTAGAAGATCCTTAATGTTCTATTAATATAAAGCGAGGTCCAGTTACCAGTTAGCCTACTCTATAAAACAGCTGGCAGTTATGGGTACTTCTTACTTAAGTACATTTCGAAGCCAATACTTTTACTTGAGTAAAGAAGTTTAGTCAGTACTTCTACTTTTACCAGAGTATTTTTAAACACAAGTATCTGTACTTCTACTTGAGTAAAGGATGTAACTATGTACTTTTGCCATCTCTTTGTATTGTATTGAAAGAGACAGTGACAACATCGAAAAAGTCGAAATTCTGAGAAAGATTTGAAATTCTGAGAAAGTCAAAATTCTGAGAAAAATTCGAAAGTCTGAGAAAGTTCTGAAATAAATTTGACACGGTTGAAATTCTGAGAAAAATGTACTTTTTTGAAATTCTGAAAATAAATTCCTAAATTCTGAGAGAAATTCGAAATTCTTTGATGTTTTTTTTATTGTAATGCTTGATTGACTATTAAGAAAAATGAAATATAAATTGAATATGTTATTAGTAATATCATGTTTACAGATAAACCTGCTGACACTAGGCTGTTCTTTTCCTTCAGGTGTCTGCAGACGAACGGGACGAAGGGCTGTCCCAAATGTTTCAAGTCCTCCATGAAGCCTGGATTTGTGTGATTGTGCGACTGTGTTTGTGCGTTGGATCTGCAGACACAGCGTGATGCCTGACTGATCTGAGAGCAGCAGGCAGCCTCGGGGTATCCTGAAGATGTTCGAGGGGAGAAATACTTCACTGCTCTGTGAAGAGGATGCTGAACTGAACCCAGTGTCACAGAGTGCCGCTGGAGGACACATTCAAGGCATCCATCTTATTATCAGTCTGTGAGTTACAGCCGACTGAGGGGCGCGACTGACAGTGTTACATTTCGATATAAGCTGAAGAAGTATGAACCTACTTGTCTCTGACGACTGGCCTTTTAGGTGCAGATTTTAAATTCTAGAGGAATATGGACCGTCAAAAGAGCGTTTATAACTTGTATTTGCTATTTTCTGCGTAGTAATAGTTTAGTCAAATCAAGATGAAATGATCGTCAGTGATCTTAGTTGCAGGGTTTCAATTCAACCAGGATCCAACCTTTTACACTACATCCACTTTTTCTTTAATCGACAGTTTTCTGATTTATTTTGTATCTTTTCCAGAAGACAGAGCCGTTTCTGAATTGATTTCATACATGGTATATTTATTATTGTCTTCATGTACATACTATTCTCATGTTAATTTGTTTTACATTTTTTGAGGCACCCAAAAGTGATCGAAAAACCTCTTAACCATTCAAAAACTAGTAAGTCTTTACAGAAAAGACATGCTGCTGTTTTTATTTCTTTATTCAGAGATAGAGGAGCCGGATCACACATAATGTTCATGGAAATGACTTTTCTGTCCATGTTTAACTCTTAAATCTGACGTCAACACAATATTGTTGCAATTTGAGGACATGAGAAAACCTATTGGGAAAGGATCTTCTCGACCAATCACATACCAGTCAGATTACTATTCATTTATTGTGGAGTTTTAATATTTGTAGTGTAAATATTACTTGATAAAATGTCAATATGCAGATTGATATTATTAACTTGGAGAGGCTTTGTCATTTTAAGGTGGTTTTGAGAGAGAAAGCCCTAAAAAAGCTGTGCTATCAATCAATTCTCATTGCATGTTTTATTTACAATGCCCAAAGAATTACATCAAATTATAAATCCATGTAACTATATTTACTTATTTCGGATTTGTTTAATATAGTTTTTCTTAATATTCAGTGGCTTTTATCATGCATATTCCTTATATATTTGTTAAATATATTTTACACATTATATACTTTAACAAAATAAGCCATGTCAATCTAAACATCGTGGCCAAAACCAGGTTTTCCTCTAAAACTGTAACTCATACTACATTTTAGTAAGACAGTTTTCAAAAGTACTAAAATATAGATGCAAAAATAAATGTATTTGTGTGATCAAAACACAGGATAAATAATTTAACGAATACCATTTACCCTTTTTGAAACATTCATAATTTAAACATAAGGTAGTAGCTACTTAGTTTTCTCTCTCTTCACAGCATGTGAGCAGGTCAACAGCCTTAACAGAGAGACTACGGCATTTACTTTTACTGCACAAGCACTTAATTTTCACCTAACCTCACTTCTGAGCAGCACCAGGAACTTGTTTGGGTTCCCGGCATTCAAATTAATGTTTATTCACTGTCTGTTTACATGTAGCACAGTCGTAAAACGTGCAAAGAATCATAACGCTTGTTTGTTCTTGGTATAAATACGATTTCACCGACCGCACATCCACTTATCTTTAACAGTTTTAACTACCTCTGCTTCTGCCTCCAAGCTTCGCCCTCCTTAGAGGATTAATGCAGTAATAACACGACATTTAAATACATGTAGGATATGTTATGTTTTTCTAGACATTATGCTGATACAACCATGGTTTAAATGAGTTAAGGTCGGACTGGAATGCATTGTTAATATATTTATGCATTGAGTCAAACCATGTAACTGTGTCAAATATAGAAACATGTCATTAATGAAAATAAAGTGCAGCAGGAGTTTATTGTGTAATCTTATTGCTGGTATTCACCATGTGTATCATCTTTCAATGTCAGTCTGCTTCCATCGCTCAACAAGAGTTTTGTTGTCGTATGTGTCATATTCAACGAGCATTTAACCAGTCGTACTAGTTTGCCAAGATTTACAGAAGTTTCAACCAAGCGATAAGCATCGAACCGCCTTCTGTCACAACACCTGAAACACTGGAGGTTTGTTTCCCTGTGAGCTCACTTTGCAGGAAATCTTCCTCCTGATGGCAGCGCTTTCATTCTCTGAAAGGGACTTACTTTGTCCTCAATGCTCTGATATTTACTACCTTCCCGTGCTCCTAAATTGTGGCCACAATATTTGCAGATTTTGTTTAAAGAAATTCTGGGAATGGAAAGGATGTCGAGAATGTCCTGTGTGTCAGGCTGTGTCTGTCCTTGGGAGGCCTCCTATCAACCTGGAACTAAAGACAGCTGCGGACGAATATCAGGTGTTAAAGACCAGAAGCAATCAGGACGTTTGTCGGGTTCACAAAGAGAAGCTGAATATTTTCTGTCACAATGACCTCGAGCCCATCTGCCTCGTCTGCCAAACGTCAAAACAGCACAAAGTTCACGAGTGCAGCCCAGTGGAGGAGGCCGCCACACAGAAAAAGGTAGAGTAAAAATAGAAACTGGGGAAATAACAAGGGGATTTACGGCAAATATTGCAAACACAATGACTTGTATGTATGAAGATGTGTTGCAACTCTGGTTGTTTTTCTTCTAGTGTAAAAGGGGATTGGGCTGCAACTAACAATTACTTTCATAATAAACTAATTGTTTTCTGAAATCATTGATACATTATTTAATCTATAAAAATCGTCCATCATAATTTCCATAACCAGCTTGTCCTAATCTCAGTTAGTTATATAAAACTGAGAAAAGTAGCACATTGATGTTTTGTCAATTCATAGAATAATAGTTTCCAGATTTAGACTCAATTATTAATCTTTTGAATATTTCAGAAAGAAATCTCAGCCATGCTGGAGTCCTTGAGGAAACATCTCAGATTATTGAACATGACAAAGGTGCAATGGGAGGAAACCAAACGCTATATACAGGTAAAGATATAATTGTGTGTTTTGATGTACCTCTAATATTTGAATTCTGATTCTTTAGTCTCACCCATTCAGTTTCCGCCAAGATAGAAAGTTCCTTCCCGGACGACACACAAATATTCTTTTATGTGTCTGCCAAAATATATCCACACACATTCTAGAGTCAAGTGAATCACAGTGAGGCAGCGATAAAGGAGGAGTTTGAGAAGCTGCACCTGTTTCTCAGGGAGGAGGAGAACGGCCGGCTGAAGGTGCTCAGACAGGAGGAGCAGATCAAGACGCAGGTGATGTGTGAGAAGCTGGAAAACATCCAGGAGCAAATCAAGACCCTCTACTCCACCATCAGTGAAGTCGAGGGGGCCCTCAGAGCCAAGGATTTAACATTTCTACAGGTACATCTACTGCCATTGTTTACGTGACAATAAGGCTTTTTTCTTAAAGTGGGGATATATGAGGTTTATCCATAGTCAGTGTACTGTATAAGCTACACTAAGTGGTCGATGGCACCCCCCCAGAACAGACAGCAATAAGGGAACAGGAGCAATGCAATGCATTGCTGTCAACAGGGGCAGAGGCAACACTTATTATAGACACAGTTTTCTACGTTTTTTTGGTATAACCAAAGTCACACAATAACACAAACAAAAGCAGAAGTAGAGGTAAAATTACTGGCTTTATAGAATTGGGAGGGATGAAAACCTCTTTTTTAATGGTCACACATTCAGAGCACACAGCACACATAGTGAAATTTGGCATCTGCATTTAACCCATCCTAGTACCAGGAGTCTAGTACTAGGAGCAGTGGGCAGCTAGTGGGTAGCTAGTGGGCAGCTAGTGTACAGCGCCCGGGGAGCAATGGGAGTGAGGGGGGAAGGGGGGTGTCCGGTGCCTTGCTCAAGAGCACCACGGCAGGGCAGGAGGTGACTGGTCTGGTCAGTGACTTGAACCGGCGACCCTACGGCTCCCAGTCCAATCCCCTACTGACTGAGCCACTGCCGGACTAACCATAGATAACGGCTTTATAAATCCCATCAGTGCCACAAGATGCTACTGTGCACGTTCTACAGACCACCAATGTATTTGAATGGACATTTTAATCCTTTTTAACGACAAAATACCAGATTGAGTATAATATATGTAACAATAGGCTCTGACAAGGTGTGACTTACTGTCAAACACAGCCAGGCTGATCAAAATAGCTTTGAAATTTGCTGATTTCAAAGCTATTAGCAAATGACACCTTCATGGCCTTAGGAGCTTGGTGTCTAACTTTATGAGTGTGATTTATTTTTTTCATGTATTATTTTAATGTTTCCTTTCATGCATACACTCAAAATATTTGGATGTATTATCCTTTTGGAATAGTTTTGTGTTTTCATAGTGTACAAGTGTTTCTTTTTATCATTGGTGGTGATAACTACACACCTCAGATGTGCGTATAACTACACACCTCAGATTTAAATAATAAGCTGCATTTATTTCACTTTCTTTCTGGATCTTTAGGACTTCAAGCAGACCAATAAAAGGTATGTGTAACCCACCATCTGCCAAACGTAGCCCTAACTGTCTACATAAGTCAATGTTGTAATTATTTCAACAATGTTTCAGGGTCAAATGCACCATTCAAGAGCCGCAGTGTATCAGAGATATCCTAATCAACTCTGCAAAGCATCTGAGCTCACTCAGGTTTGAAGTTTGGAAGAAGATGGCCAGCACTGTCACATGTGGTGAGTGAACAGAAAATGGCTTATAAGTAAATAAGATTTTAGTTTTTTAAAGGTCACCTATTATGCAAAATCCACTTTTCCATGTCTTTTATACATAAACATCTGTCCCCTCTGTGTAAAGAGATTCTGAAAGTTTCAGCAAAGAAAGCTTTGCACTCTTTTTGTCCTGATCCTTTTATATAAAAACCTGTCTGAAAGTGAGCTGATCAGATTTTGGCCACTTTGTGATGTCATAATGTTTTTTTGGCTTGGCGTATAACCATTAGCCAATCACCAACCAAGGTAACCCCCGCCCGCCCACCTTATCCTGAATCTCCTCCTAGAGCACCATTGTGTTATTTTTAACCAAATATCTCGCAGAGGGGCGTGGGGAGTGGCTCCTTATTTTCATCTAAAGTAACAGACAGAGAATCAGCACTTTTGAAACAGGACTGAAACAGAGGGGATTATGGGATGCTACGACACATGATCTGTTTGGTATTTCGAGCCAAACACTTCAAATACATGTTTTGTGTATAACTGAGAACTATAATATATTGATGAAAAAGAGTATTATGGGGACCTTTTATGTACCGAGTGTTTTTGATACTTTCAGTCCCGATTACTCTGGATCCAAACACGGCCCAGTCCAACTTGAAGCTGTCTGAAGATCTGACCTGTGTGCAGTTCAGCAGTAAGCAGCTCCTCCCTGATAACCCTGAACGCTTCACCAGCCGTGTGTGTGTGCTGGGGGCCAGCGGCTTCACGTCAGGGAGGCACAGCTGGATGGTGGAGGTGGGCCAGGGCAAAGACTGGCACATCGGAGTGGCACGAGAGTCCATCAAGAGGAGGAGTACCGTCTTCCTCAACCCCAGCGAGGGTTTCTGGGTGATCGGTGTGAGCAACGGAGACTCATTCTGGGCTCAGACCTCGCCTCGCACCAAGCTGGTGTTGAAGCAGAAACCTGAGAAGATCACTGTACAGCTGGACTATGATAAAGGAAAGGTTGTTTTCATCAATGAGGCCGATTCAACAATAATATACGCTTTCAAAGACAGATTCACAGAGAGGGTGTTTCCCTTCTTCTCCCCTGGATTGAGTGGAGAGGGGAAACACTGCAGCCAGCTGACCATCTGTCCTCAGACAGTAGCATTGAACATGGAGTCTCACATGCAGTAGACACATGGTGCTAGTGTGGAGGGAGACTTTGTTCAGCAGAAGTTACATGACACTGTACTGTATCTGATGGTTAGACAGGCATCATACTGTATAGGTGATGAAATAAGAAATGGTGCTTGAGTTGAGGAAGATGTTGAATAGTTTCTCTATGAAATTCAGCAGCAAATTGTATGACACTGTACTGAGTAGTTGATGAAATAAGACATAACACTTTCAACATTTTATTTATTTATTTAATGTTATTCAGAAGACAGTCTCAGGTCATATAAATATGTAGAGTGGATTTGATGTTATTAACTTTCATTTTCTTTCTGTTTTGGCTTCCTCTGTGTGGACATATCTTTCAGTTTAGAATCCAGTTTCCTCTGCAGATAGGCTTTCTTGTTGGGGTCCATGGTTTTATCCTTCTTCCCGCTGCCGGCGTAAAGAACGCCCTCTTTGCTTATTCTCATCCGAGCGTGAGACTTGGCTTTATCTCCGCAGCCGTGAACCTAAAAAGGTGCAACACATGACATCAGATCAGAAAACAACACCTTTCTTATATGTAGGTTGTCACTTATAGCGAACTATCAATACACAGCCTAATAAAATACTTTCCTTCCTCCATGGGTTTTAAAAACGACTACATAGTAAAACAAATGTACTCTTTGGGGTCTGTTCCGGTCTCACCTCTGGTATATGATGACTGAGACAGTACTGCCTGTTGCAGAACAGGCAAAGCTGTCCGAGCATCAGCACAGAAGCTTTGCACCTCAGGAAGCTGCACACACGTTCAGCCTTTATGACGGCGTTGATGAGTGTGTCGAAGTCTTCATCTGGAGCGGCGGCAGCAGCGATGCCGCAGGCGCCGGTCTTCGTTTTACTCTTTACTGGGAGACAAATGGAAAGGTTCGAAGCTGAAAACATATCGGAGCAGACGGATTCAAATAACAGTTTGTTGTTGTTGTTGGCCTTGGGGTTTGTGCAATAGGTGGTCCTTGTCAGTGTGTATACGTGTATGTACGTCTGTGTACATAAGTCATGTGTGAATATGGTATTGTCTTTTATCACGTACTATGTGATATTTATGATTTGCTTTTTCTATGGAACTGCAGGACCGTTCCAAATCAAGGACAACAAAGTGTATCATATCGTATCAATTTCAAAATCAAGCTGAAACAATTGGGCAAATAATCAATTGTAAACTAAAGTAATTGCCAATTATTTTGGGTTTTGGACAGAAAAAAACAGACTTTTAAAAACAACAACTTGGACTATGACAAACTGAAATAAAAATGTTCTGGCATAAAATAAAAATCTAGAAAGAAATGTGAGTAAGAGTAATCAAAAATACAAATACTGGTGAGAGATGATTCTACTACCTTTAGCCCTTTGCGAGTGTGTGTTTTTGTTTGTCTTGTAAGTAGGACGGTCGAGTTCCGTTGCTTCTTGGTTT